CTTCGGGTGGGCGGGGCCTGGAAGCAGGTGGACCCGGACTGGGCGGGGCCTGAGATCTGGCGGAGTGGGAGGCTGGGTCCCGCTGTGGGTCTGGAATTTCTGAGCCTAGGATGGGAGATGGGGGCCCAAGTGGTAAATGGCCAGAGTAGGAGTCCCATAAGGGGAGGTTTAAAATTCCCACCCCTTCCCCCATTGCCCGACCCCCACTGCTCCCTCCCCCACACACATTACTTTCCCATGGCCCTTCCCTATGCTGGGAGCTGACATCCCGCTCCCACCCGTGGGTGTCACCAGTTGACATCACCTTCTTTTCTGCAGTCCAGTATTCGGTACCCCTCTCCTGCCTTATACTTACAGAATGGGGACACGGGGGCCTATCTGCCCACACCCTCCCTGCCCCAGACCAAGCCATAGCCCATTCCACCTGGGGAAACCCAGACCAGGGCTAGAAGGGTCTGCCATAGGCTGTGTGTGTGTGTGTGTGTGTGTGTGTGTGTGTGTGTGTGTGTGTGTTGTAGGGAGGGAAGGTGGCGGTGAAGAGGGGCTGTGGACTGGAGAAATTCGACAAAGGCACACACCCTCTCTTCCTGGAACCCCCATCTCTTCCCACCCTGCCCAGCTGTCCAGGCCCTGGTGGCCCCTGCCTGGTACAAGGCTGGGAGGCCTCAGGGGAGGAGAAAGAGGCCTCCAGTCGCAAACAAAAGCCCTTCTTTCGCTGCAGCTGGCTGGGGGAGGGGTTGGCAGAAGGGCTCTCCAGAGAGGGGCACACATGTCTTTGAGGACCAGGGGGTCAGGCAGAAAAGGGGCAGATTCACCTTCAGGCTCAGGGCCCTGAACCTCCACAGGACCCCACTCCCCAGGGACCCCATCCAGTGCCCCTGCCCATGGAGGGCTCAGCTCACCCTGGAGTGGCACAGGAACCCCAGGTAGACGATGGCGGCTGCCGGCAGCAGCACCAGCAGGAACACGGTTGCGGGCAGCAGCAGGTGGAGCAGGAGTCCGGCCAGAATCTGACTGGGCGGCGGCAGGGTCCCAAGACCTCGGGTGACCAGGCCTGCCCACCCTGGGGACGTCAGGGCTGACGTCTGGCGGTCAGGAAGCCTTCGGGGCAGCATGGGTGCTGTGTCTGAAATGCCCCCTCCCTCATCCTCCTCTGTCTCCCTCTCCTGTTCACTCATGCTGTCTTGGGCAGTGGACCTGGTAGGCTCACAGCAGTAGTCAGATGGCAGGACTGAGGCCCCCCAGGGTCCACCCTTGCTCCCTAGGTCAGACCCTTACTCAGACTCCCTCAAGTAGATAATGGACCCTGCTGGAGGGCAGGACCCTGGCCTAGGTAGGTCCAGCCCTGACCATCAGTCCCCAGGGCCACACCCCTGCCTCAGTTTCCCCCACTGCCAGGCTCGGCCTCTCTCTGCCAGGCGACTACAGCTCCCTAGCTAGCTCTGTGTGCTCTGGTCAGCTGTCCCTAAGGCCTGGCACTGGGGCCCTCCTCCTTCTTGGTCCCGCCCTCTCCCCCCTTCCAATTTCCCCACACAACGACTTCATTTCATAGGTCTTGACTCGGACAACTGCCCCATCAGTAGCTGCCACATAGAGGTCACCACCCACCCCACTTCCCAGCCCTAGCCCCTGCTGCTCTCCTCATCCCCAAACCTGGTCCCTCTCCAGGGAACACGCTGGGTGCCTACATCCCAGGGCTGCTGAGAGGGTATGTGGGCAATGCATGTGAAATACTTAGTGTGAGACCCAGCACACAGTAGGACACAGTAACAGCAGCTACCATGACAGGCATCCTTTGTGTCATTATCTGATCCATCCTGAAAACAGTGGGAGAAAGTATTGTTATTTCAAGTAGGGGAACAAAGCATTGCCTACCCCTCTAAAGCCCCAACTGATTCTCCCCACTATTTCTAACATAACCTTTACACCAGTCAGACCCCCAGGGTTTCCTTGTATAATGTACAGCATTTAAACAATCACTTACTTAACAAGTGGACACTTACACTCACCAGTAGGTTGTCTGTGAGCTAAATAAAGGAGGCCACACGGAGTCAGATACCAACATTTCCGCCTCACACCTCCACAGTCGCCATGTCCCCTCCGACTTTCCTTCCAACATGTTCCAAGCCTCTCAGGCTCACCAAGTCCCTTCAGACATGTACAAATGGGGGACAATGACAGCGATAGTGCACACAAGTCTGACACAGACCCAGGCAGGACCGCAGCTGAGGCCTCCAGGCAGCTAGTGCCACACCCTGTGACCCGACACATACACAATTCAACCTTTTTTACTGGCACACACATGCCAAGATCTCACAGTAGCTGCTTATTTATTCAGATAGTGAATTTGGGGTAAAAAAGGTTGCAAATGGTAATGTTTGGGTGGAGAGTTCAGAAGGTGAGGGTGCAGGTCTTGTCTCCTTTCTAGGCCCCACCCTCTCCTCAGGTGGCTCATTCAACACTCCTTGAGCACCCACTGTGTGCGGGCTGCCCTAGGCTCTGTGGACTCAGTGAGGTAGGTCGACAGAGGCCTTGCCATGCAGGGGTGGCTGTGCTGGGGTCCTGACAGCCTTGCACGAATCCACAGAGGCCACGGAGTGAGCTGCAGCGCCCTAGGCCATCGCAAACGCGGGAAGACAGGCACACGGCTGGCTCCGCTGCCTCTGCTTCCTGGAAGGCTGTCGGGAGGTGTTCCTAGGTATCCCTGGCTCTGATGGCGCAGGGGATTTCCCACTGGGCTGGGTGCAGCTGCAGCTCCACGTGGATCCTCAACCTCAGGGGCCCCCTGCTGCCTGTTATCTGGTGCGTTCTTTTTGGTGTCATCCTATGGGACAGGGGACACAGGGAACTGACACCTTTGCCGTCCTTGTTTTTCCCGGCTACTTGAGGAGTAAGGCGTCTGAACCCACCCCAAGCGCTTGCTTCTTCACTGGCCAAAGCTGCCGGCCTGTGTGACGTGCCCTCCTGGAGCTTTCATTTTAGAAGAGGAAGGCAGACATTTAGAATAAAAATAGACATGCTTTTGTGGAGTGATAAATGCTAAGAAGAAAAGAAAACAGGGTCAGGGACAAGGTTACTGCAGATGGGTGGTCAGGTTGGAGGCCCCTCTGGGGAAGTGATATCTGAGCAGAGTGACTGAAGCTCATGAGGTAGGGTCCCTGTGGCTTGGTGGTGGGACGGGGCCCCTGGGCACCTTGCGTGGAGACCCACCCTTTGGACATGGCACCTGGAAGCGCTGCTCTCTAAGGAGATGGGGAGGGGCCAAGGCTCTGTTGCACTTCCAGGGTGGGCAGGGCAGGGCCCTCAGGACACCTCATCCCTGGGAACCCTGGGGGTGGGAGCGACAGCCCCAAAGCTGCACTGCCTCCTGGTGGACAGTCCCAAGAGGCAGCTGGAGGGACTAAGCTGAAGGAATGGACACCTTCTCCCATCAGGGCTCTGGACAGGTGGCCTTTCCCAGGGATTGAGGGATGGGCAGGCAGGGCCAGTTCCCTACTCTGCCACCCTGCCCAGGACCCCAGAATAAAGGTGACCCAACCTGCGGGCCTGGCTCAGTCCCCTTCCTGCATCACCACTTCTGGATGTAGCTCAGGGGTCAGCCCCATCACAGGCTCAGCTGACTTGCCTCAACCTCTCAGGGGCTTCCTACCTCCAAACCCCTTACCCAGGTTGCCTGTCTTTGGAGGGAAGGGTCCCACCTCATCCTGTCTACCTCTCAGGCTGGAACCAGGCCAGAAGCCAGGATCCAGCCCAGAGATGGTCTTAGCAGGGACAGGAGTGGGGGTGAGGTGTGGTGCCCGAGGGAGGAACTATGGGAAGGCATGTCCCTGGGGGCAAGTCGAGGCACATCAAAGGCTGTGCTCCTTGGAGGAGCCGCAGGCATGCTCCTGCTTGCCTGGCCTTTGTCTCCCTGGAGGGAGGCCAAGCCCCAGGCCCTGGCAGTTGGTAGGAGGACCAGTGCTGGGACAGGGGCTGTGGCCACCAGGCAGCACCTTTCTTTCAGTTGCTGGGTAAACAGTGTGGGGAAGTGGCCCTTAACCTGGCCCAGGAGGCAGCAGGGGGCAGCTCTGCTCCACCCCTTACCCCTCCCCTGATCCCCACCCACCCACCCACAAACACAGTCAGCTGCAGCTGTAGCCTTCCAGGCCTGCAGGAGCAGACACCCCCACCTCCATACCTTCAGAAGGAGTTTCTTGAGAGGGCCATCTGGCTGTCTGTGGCTGGGCCAGGGTCAGCATGGAGAGGACCCCCAACCAGAGGACAGAGTCCCTGGGCGGGCTCCCTCTTGGGGTAACTGAAAGCGTAGCCTAAGTGGTGACCTGGTTCCTCTAGGGGAGATGGGTTGGGGGTGCCCATGTCGGCCAGGTGCCTCCAGCATCCACGCAGGATCGCTCTTCCCAGATGAAATCTGGGAGCTCAGAGCCTGAGAAGCAGGACCTGACCGAGGCAGGGGCGGTGCAGGAACTCAGGTGGATGGAGCTGGGCTCTGAGGAGACCCTGGGAACAGCGACGGAGAGGCCGGGTGCGCCACGGGCTTGGAGGCGCCTGCTGCAGGCCGTGTGGAGGGGTCACCTGGGCCTCACAACACAGCTGCTGCGGCAAGGGGCCAGTGTGGAGGAGAGGTGAGCCCCAGGGTAGCACGGGGTCTCTTCCCCAAAGTGGAGGCAGGGCCTTCCTCAGCGGGTGGGCAGGACGGGGTCTCATCCCGAGGCGCCCCACCCTCGCCCACACAGCTCTCACCCCTGGCAGGGACCGCGCCGGTAGGACCCCGCTCCATCTGGCCGTGCTGCGCGGCCACGTACCCCTGGTGCGGTTCCTGCTACAGCGCGGGGCCCCGGTGGGGGCCGCCGACCGCGCGGGGCGCACGCCCCTGCACGAGGCCGTCTGGCAGGGCCACTCACAGGTGGCGGAGCTGCTGCTGCAGCGCGGGGCCCCCGCGGGGGCGCGCACCGGAGCCGGCCTCACGCCGCTGCACTGGGCAGCCGCGCTGGGTTGCACTCTGTTGGCCGGGCGCCTGCTGGACACGCCGGGCTCCTGCCCCGCGGACGCGGACGTGCGCGGCTGGACGGCGGCGCACTGGGCGGCCGCGGGCGGCCGGCTGCCGGTGCTTCAGCTGCTGGCGGCGAGAGGCGGTGCGGACCTGGACGGCGCCCTGCTCGTGGCGGCCGCGGCAGGGCGTTCGGCGGCGCTGCGTCTCCTCCTGGAGGAGGGCGCGCGGGCGGACGCCCAGGACGGCGCGGGGAACACCGCGCTCGGCGTCGCTGCGGGTTTGGGCCGCAGGCAGGTATGTCGGGGACAAGCCCCCGAAGTGACGCGGCGGGTAGAGGGGACGGTCCTTGCCCCCGGGTCTGCACTGCCCACCCCAGCCTCTGGTGGAGGAGTCTGCACTGTCTGCACTGGCCGGACGCCAGGGGCCTCAGTGCGGCCGAGACCCGTTTGTAATCTCTCATGGAAGCCTGGGGAGGGTACATGGCCTGGCATTCGTACTTTGTTCTGGTGGCCGGCAGCAACAACTATTTATTGAGCACCAAGCATGTGCGTGAGTCCAGCCAGCCCCCAGACAGCGGAGAGGGGTAGCAAGTGGCTGCAAATCTTGGATTTGAGCCGAGGACGATTAGGGGGACAAATGGAAGTCTCTAAGCAGAGCCACTCCAGGGTACTGTAGGTGCTGGCTCATTTACCAAATGGGGAAGCAGTGTCGAGAAAGAGGCTGTTAGGTGACGGGGGCCTGATGAGGTCTGGGTCAGGAGGCAAATGGCATGGTGGCCCCAGCCCCTCACCCAGCTGGGCCAGGGCTGGCCTCTGCCTTGTGCTCTCCCCTTCCAGGATATGGAGGTGCTGCTAGACCACGGGGCAGACCCAAGCCTCAAGGACAGGCATAGCCGCTCTGCACTCCACAGGGCTGCCGCTGGTGGACACCTGCCTGCTGTCCAGTTACTGGCAGCCTGGGGAGCTGAGGTGGATACTCAAGACTCACTGGGCCTAACACCCCTGCACCACGCTGCCCGGGGAGGCCACATGGACGTCGCCAGCCACCTCCTGGACGGGGGTGCACAGGTCAACGCTGCTGGCTGGCTCCACAAGACGCCACTGAACGTCGCCAGGGAGCATGGCCACGGCCCCACTGTAGAGCTTTTGCTGAGCCGAGGGGCCAGCCCCACCCAGATAATGCAGTGGGGTGAGGTGGCCCAGGACCTGGTGTCTGAGGGGGGCCTGCCCCAGGCACTGCCCACCCTTTGGAGTGAGCAGAAGGACTGCTAGGGACACACAGCCCCAGGGCTGAGCCTGCAGGGCCAGAGCAAGACAGATGGCTCCTGGCGCCCACAGCCTTGGGAGTGTGCCAGGCTCCTCTCTTCTGGGCTGAGGCCACCTGCCTGGGTGGAGGGGGAAACAGCTGAGAGGTTCATGGAAGAGAAGGGGGCAAGTGGCTTGAGCCCCAGTAATGGGCCTATGGCCAGACCTGGGGTGGCCCCATGGATTCCCAGGGGCGCCTCAGTCCTGCACTCCAGAGACTGAGTTGTGGCCACTGATTTGACCAAAACCTTTGTGTGCAATGGAGGTGTCACCCTCAGCTATTGTTTCTGCACATGGCAGTGTTCTGTATTTTCTTAGATTCAGTACTTGTCTGTTTGCACCCATTTGTTACAGGACCAAACCAACAGCCACAGTCATTCACCTGAATCCAGAGCCCACACTTGGAGCCTGCTCTCTCTCACACACAGCTGACGTTCCCTACCCTAAATCACAAGGCCAGCAACCAGACAGCCAGACAGGCCTATGCACCAAGGCCCCCTGAGATTACCAAGCCAACCAGTCCCAGACGGTTCCCCTGCCCTGCCTTGTCTCCCCCACCAGAACCCCGTTAAGGCTCTGTCCTGAGCTGTCCCCTCCTCGCTCTTGCCTCCTTGCTGACACTGGTCCCCCCCGTGGCCCTGTGGGGCCTGGTATGCCCTCCTCTCAGGAAAGGCAAAATGTAAAAATCTTCTTCCAATGGCATCTCTCTCTCCCTGTCATCACTCAGCCATGTCCATAAATGAAAAAACTCTGTGGTACAATCGAATCAGAGACTGTTGTCTGACTGCCCATCTCTGTATCTTCATAGAAAACCATTGCCATTTTTCAATTTAAAAGTATAGTTTTTCTGAAATAACAGCTTTATAGAACAGATTTCACCTTTCCAAAGAGAATTGTCATGCCAAACTCTGCCCAGGGCCATGGAAGAGCTTGGGTTTTACTCCCAGGGCAACTGGAAGCCTTTGGGGAGTTTGTGGGTGTGAGACGAGTCTGCTGGGCTCGTGGAGCCTGCCAACTGCAGAGCAGACTGGAACTGGGAAAGGGAGCATGGGGACACCAGTGAGATGGTGGCCGTTGCAGTGGAGGTGGGGGAAGCAGGCAGCATGGGGATGAATCTGTGCACAGAGCCCTCTGGACTCGCTGATGGGCTGAACATGGGGATCAGGGGAAAGGGAAAATAACAGTGACTCCTGGGAGGTGTGTGCCCGAGGCGGAGGGTAGGTGGTGGACCTCCCATTAGGATGGGGAGAGCAGATGAGAATGGGAGAAAGGAGAGGGCTGGAGTGACATCTTTGCAATCCTCAGAGGAAGGACAGTTTTTTTTTTTTTTTTGGAGGGCAGTGTAACTGGCTCTCATATGTGAGATCTGAACCAGGGCCCTCTGGCATCCCAAGCCAACTCTTAACCAATGCGCCACTCGGCCAGCCCTAGGAAGGACGGTTTTTAAGCTACAGGATGGACCTACACCCAGCCAGCTGGCCCAGCCTGCGGGCTCTCCCTTCAGTGCACACCCAGAGCCCCACCGCCTGTCACCCCCACTGCATCCGCTATGGTCCAAGCCACCACCAGCCTGGCCTGAGTGTTGCCATCAGTCTTGCTGGTCTTCTTGCTCAAGCCCTTGCCTCCCTACAGTGCGTTCTCAAAACCGTAGCTGCCATCTTATTTAATAAGCTGGATGACGCTACTGTGCTGCTCAAAATCCCCCCAATAGCTCCCTCTTGTGGAGCGAGAACCAAATGTGTATCGAGTTGTTCATAGACGCCCCAGTGAGTTTGCTGTCTGTGAGCTCCTTCGCGTTCCTCCCATCCAGGGCTGCAGTCTGTGTCTCTGCCCCTTGACACTGAGTGGACTTTTGTGATTATTTGGCCGCCAGCATACTGTCAAGGTGACGCTGTGTGACTTTCCAGGGTGGGCCAAGGAGGTGACACGCTTCCGCAGTGCCTTGTCCTCGTCACCATCTGACTGCCCTGAAGCCGCCATGCTGTGGGCAAGGCCGCATGCAGCAATGGTCACCAGAATGTCAACGTCCTTGCATGACCTTCAGGGCCCTACACATCCTCACCAACTTCCCACTCTGGCCTCTGACGTGCTGACCCTGGGAACGTCGCTCAGTCCACTCCCACCATGGTGGCATTTTCGCTGTTCTTGACCATACCAAGTACCTCAGGTCTTTGTACTCACTCCCTCTGCCAGGCATACTCTTCCCTCAGGTATGTGCCTGGCTTGCTCAGTCACTTCCTTCCTGACTCAAACGTCACCCTCAATGCACCCTTCTATTAAAGACTGCACCATCCTCCACCCCACAAAAGGAAAGCTCGTCTCTAAGTAGAATGCCAATACAGAAAGAATCCTGGAGTTAGTCAACCAAGGATGCTCAAATGAGCGAGTGCAGATTGGATGAGGTAAAGGACATTTATCTCAAGGCAGCACCACGGATGGGTGGGCACTGCTCAGATATCCACGCAACATCCGCCTGTTATTCAGCTTCAAGTCCGCTGCAGTACTTCTGCCTACGGCATGCTTTTCCTGGCAGCCCCCGTCACTGGTCCAGCACAGCAAAGGTACCAGGGCCTGGCCAGGCCCGCCCAGGCCCGCCCAACACACTTCTCTTGATACACCATCTTTGCTCCAGAATTACTGGTTTAGCCGAGATGTTGTCCAACCTCCATCCATCTGAGGCCCACCCTGCCCAATTCTTCTTCTTCCTTTCACAGGCTTTCCACAGTCCACCTCTGTATTCCTACCTGAGTGTCTGCTCACAAGAAGCCTGTAATGTCTCACAAAGTATATATTGCCAAACTACTTATTAGTTACAAACACAGAAATGGCGGAGAAACCTGGCAAACAATAGTCTAACCAAAGGTCAAAGCCGACATCACTCATGTTGGGACAGGCTGCCATCATGCCCTCCTGAAAGCATGCATTGAGAACACAATATTTATTTATTTATTTATTTATTTATTTATTTATTTATTTATTTATTCATTCATTCATTCAGGTTTTATTGGGGGAATTGGGGAAGGGGAACAGCCAAGTTGTTGTCCTTCAGTCTTAGTTGTGGAGGGCGCAGCTAGCTCAGCTCCAGGTCCAGTCGCCATCCGGCTGCCCCTCGGCAGCTCGCGGCCGCTCAGCTCAAGGTGTCAAGTTCAATCTTATTTGCGAGTGGGCATAGCCCACCATCCCATGCAGGAGTCGAACCAGCAACCTTGTTGTCAGGAGCACGTGCTCTCACCAGCTGAGCCATCCTGCCACCTGTTGGCAGCTCAGCTTGGGCGCAGCTCACTGGCCAGTGTGGGAATCGAAACGGCAACCCTGTTGCTGAGAGCTTGTGCTCTTAACCAACTGAGCCACTCGGCCAGCCCTTCCCCACAATATTATTTTTGTAGTATTCTGCCAAAAATGCATAACCTGATTCCAATCATGAAGAAACATCAGACAAACTCATACTGAGAGTCATCCTATAAAATAACTGCCTGTACACGTTTAGAATGCCAAGGTCAAGAAAGACAAAGAAAGCCTGACTAACTGTTCCAGATTAAGACTAAAAATTCGAAACAACTAAAGGCAGTATATGATCCTGGATGGGGGAAAAAAGTGATAAAGAACATCTGACAAAACTGGAATGAAATATAGACTATAGGCAGTGATGAGTCAGAAAAAGAGTTAATGAGGGAGCATTTTCTCAATCCATTGCGAGTTTGCTTCCCGGCAATTGTGGTCAGTTTGGCTCAAATAAACTCACTAAAATTCTTCAAAAAAAGAAAAAAAAAACAAAGGAAAAAAAAGACAAAGAGTTAATGAGAACAAGTCTGGGAGCTAACAGATATAAGCCTAAATATTAACTGATGAGTCAGAAAGTGTTAATGAGTCTGGGAGCTAACAAGAATAGGTTTAAAAGTTTAAAGATTAACCATTTAGCTCTGAATCCCTGGCTAGCATTCCACCTGCAGACTAACAAACGCCAGGACAATTTTCGGAGGAAGCCAACTGTGACAACAGTTCTCAGAAGGGACCAGCCACAACGGTAAACAACTGCAAGATGACTAGCCCCCTGCATCCTGCATAGAAAAATATAAAACCCCAGCTGAACAGTAGCCCTCCGCAGCTGTCTACTTTAGACTCCGCCCCTCTGCAGGCGTTCCTCTCCTTACTACCCTTGGCAGCTGTCTTCTTTAGACACTGCCACGGGCATTCTCTGTGCCCGACCTTTAATAAAACTTTCTTTACTTTCTTACTTTTCTGAGTCTTGTGAATTCCTTCACATTCTGCAAATGACCAGCGCAATTCTATGCCAATACAGGCTACAGACCAGTATTGTTTTACTGTTAAATTTTCTAATTTTTATCACTGTACTGTGGTTTGTAACAAAATGTCCTGTTCTTAGGAAATACACAGTGCAGTATTCAGATGTCTCCAACATTCCAAACGGTCCAGAAAAACTCTAGAGAGAAGGATTAAAAAATGGAGCAAGGGCTGGCCAAGTGGCGCGTTGGTTAAGAGCTGGCTTGGGACGCCAGAGGGCCCCGGTTCGGATCCCACATATGAGGGCCAGTGACACTGCCCTCTACAGCTAAGATGCTGAACAACAGCTCAATCTGGAGCTGGGCTGCTGAGAGTTGCCGGTGACGGCATAGGCTGCAGCCCCTGTGGCAGTGGGTTGCCATGGGCTACTGTGTGTAGCCAGCAGCCAGTGTGAGCGGCCAGCAGCCAACTTGGGCCAGTGAAGCAACGTCCTCCACAACTAGACTGAAGAACAAAAGGACAGCAACTTGTCCGTTCCCTTTCCCCCAATTCCCCAGCACTATTCCCATCCCCCAGTAAAAATCTTTAAAAACAAACATGTAACTGCAAAAAAAAAAAAGGAGCAAAATGTAACATTTGATGTATTTGGGTAAAGCTTATTGGGGAGTTCCTTGAACTAAGTCTTCCAAGTTTTCTGTAATTTAAAATTATATCCAAATAAAAAGTTACAAAAAAATTGCACTTTATTTCTGCCCTCCCTCATTTTTTTGTTGTAAAATACCCATAATATAAACTTTACCAATTTAAGCATTTTAAAGGGTATAATTCAGCGGCGTTTAGGACTTTCACAACCTTATGCAAAAATGACAATCTCCAGTTGCAGAACATTTCACTACCCCGAAAGGAAACCCGCGCCCACTGGCAACCGCACCGCAGCCCCCGCCCCCGCGGGCTTGGTGCCTGTGGATTTGCCTGTTCTGGGCAGTTCATGTGAAGGAACCGCCGACCTTTGCGTCCTGCTATTTCCCGCATGCGGTGCAGGTTCACCCAGCGGCGTCCTGCGTCTCTCATGGCACACGGAAGGCCCCCACTTTGTTGACCAGCTAGTTTTTATTTCTCCATTGCCCTTGTCGGGTCCTACCGCTCCACGCCCACATCCCGGAGCCCGGCCCCGGGGCCCACCTCGCACGAGCATGCGCAAGAGAGCGGAGCGGACGCGGGGCTCAGGGCGCACGCGCGGCATCCCAGAAGTCTCCGGCAAGCCGCTGACCTGGAAGCGCTCGCGCGGCGCGTGCGTCGTTGAGCGGAGACGCCGACCCGGGTACCATGGTGTTCCTCACCGCGCAGCTCTGGCTGCGGAGCCGCCTCACCGACCGCTATTGGCGGGTCCAGGAGGTGCTGAAGCATGCGCGGGTGAGTTGGCCACGCACGCCCCGTGTCCCCTGCGCGCCGCGGCCCCGGGAGTCTGCGGGTCCCGCCGACAATTCCCCTGTCCCGTTTCTTGACCCAGCACTTCCGGGGGAGGAAGAACCGGTGCTACAGGCTGGCCGTTAGAGCGGTGACGAGGGCGTTTGTGAAATGCACGAAAGCCCGGAGACTGAAGAAGAGGAACATGAGGACGGTAAGCATATGTGAGCCGGGCATGGTCAGCCGACTGTGCGTGAGCGGCTGTGAGCAGGGTCTGCTGGCACGCACATGCTGCCTCGGAGAGCAGAGGTCCTCAGTGGGTTCCCGGTGCAGCAGCCGCCTCCCTTGGGACTTGTTAGACAGGCAGATTCGCAGGCCCCACCCGCACCTGCTAAAGCAGAAGCGCTGGCGGTGGGGCCCAGCAACCTGTCTTAACAAACCTCTAGGAATTGTGATGCACGTTCAAGTTGACAACCCCTGAAGTAGGGGAAGAAAGTGGACTGGAGTAAAGGATGGCTTAGGAGAGTCCCCCTCTGACACCCGCACCGCCACTCCCCCCCACCCTGGCGCGTTTAACATCATTCAGAAGCTTCGGCAACACTGACTCACCCTTCCAGACCTTTCCCTGTCTATCCACTAGCCGTCATTTCCCTGCAGTGTTCAGATCTTTCCTGCACCTGGAACAGACCACCTGCCTCCTGCCAGCCAGGTCCTCCGAGCCTGCTGGTCCCCCGGGACTGCTCACGTCCCTGAAGCCTCCACCGTGGGTCTTTTATCCCCACATGGCAGCACTCGCCTCGGTGGCTGTCATAACTCACATGGGTCCCGTCCACTCTGAGCTGTGTGCTGTAGTCTCTTGCTCGTCCTCGTATTCTCTCTCAGTGCCCGCGCGTGTTGAGGCCACGCCTTATGTAGAAAGCCGCTGGCGTCTGCGTGAAGAGCATCAGCCTCTGCTCGCTGCCGTCCGTACTGCAAGCCGGTTTGCCTGAGTGGGAAACACTTTGTTTTACCCCCCAGGAAACCTTTTAGTTCAGGCCAAACCTTTGCTGGGAGGTGTGGACCTCACACTCAATGTTTCTTATTTCAGCTCTGGATTAATCGAATTACAGCTGCCTCCCAGGAACACGGCCTGAAGTACCCAGCATTTGTCGTCAACCTAATTAAGGTACAGTTGAGACGCTGACCGACTACAGATGCCGGCCCAGCTGGCTGGTGCGGCAGCACTGCAGCGAGGGTTAGCACGCAGACGCTGCTTCCCTTCTCCAGGTGGAATTCTAGCAGGTTCGGCGACTGAGCACACTAGCTCTGCCGTTGCCTTGCTGGTAGAATTGGAAATGGGGACGGGGTAACAAAACAGGAGCCCTGCTGTGTCCCGTCAAGGGGAAAAGGTAGAGATGCTTGCCTTGAACTTTAATTTCAGAGTTTTCATGCTGAATGAGTTCTGATGAGATAGCAGATAAAGCTGAGACACATATAATCAAAAAGGAGGGCAAATGTCTTGGGGGGGACATATTAAGTATGGGTCACAAAATCTTGGAAACTTTTATCGGGTGACTATGCTGTTCCCTCTTTGTGTGTTTACATTTTTTCTTAAAAAGTTGAGGGGAGTCAGTGTGCTGCTTCTGCCTTGTACCAGGCTCTGTCTTTGGTGTTTTACAAAGACCCTCAGGGTAAGCGTAGGTGTGACATCCCGATTTTACTGCTGGGGAACTGGGGCTGAGGAGAAGGACCTGCCTGGGGGGTGGAACAGCACCTACCCTTCCGCCCAGCTGCCTTGACGATGGAGACCATCCCACCTTCTGCTCCTCTGACTCAGTGTCCTGTTCTCCCACGTCACCTGCAGCTTTACTTGGTGGATGACTGACTTGTTTTGGCTCTGGTGGGAATTGGGAATGTCTGGTTTGTCCCCTGCTAGTGTCTAGTTTCATGGTTTGTAAATGGGAATTGGGGTTTTTGTCTTCCAAAGTGTCTTAGCTGTTCTAGTTGTGTCTGGGTGATGACCATTGACCCTAAACAGAGTCCTTGGTTTCCTGGCATCAGGACTGGATGCCAGCCTCCTGTCCCATGGACCTGCAGGAATGCCCTCCCCTCGTTGTCTACATTCATCCTCCATTGTCCTGCTTGGATGGGACCCCTCCCTCCTTCCCCCACCCCCATACTGTGTCCTGTGAGGGCAGACTGCCCTGTAGCCCAGGAGGACTGCCTCCGCGAGGTGCTCAGGTGGACACATCTGATGGATGACACATCTCTGATGCTGACACAGGCTGATTTTCTTCCCAGTGTCAGGTGGAGCTCAACAGGAAAGTGCTTGCCGACCTAGCCATCTATGAACCAAAGACTTTTAAATCTTTGGCTGCTTTGGCCAAAAGGAGGCGACAAGAAGGATTTGCTGCTGCCTTAGGGGACGGGAAGGAACCTGAAGGCATATTTTCCAGAGTGGCACAATACCATTGAGGGGGACCCTGACACCACCAGCTGAGTATCTTAGGAAAAGGTTTTATCCCCCTGGTGATCATAACTAAAACAGAGGCTAACAATCATTTGCCAAGAGTTCGTTGTGCTAATTTACATTTCAGTAACAGGTGTGAGAGAAAAGGCTGCTTTTCCCTGTGGTGGGACCGACTAGCAATACCTCATGTAGATTGTGCAAATAAAGCTTGTGTGGTGATCAGCATTTTGAGCTGTGTGCTCTGGCATGAAACACACCTTGGCTGTGCTCTGCCTCCTGTGACGTCACCTGCAGTCACGTGGGAGAGGCTGCCAGGGTGAGGAGCCAGCTGGGCATGTGGTTCCTCTCGGAACTGTAGGTCCTCTCCTCCTGCAAGAGGGATGTTTACACCAGGACTCTGAGCTCTGATCCTGGCTCCCCTCAGGCTGTATTGGTGGCCTGTCCAGCATCCAAGCCCTCAGCCCTACTCTGGCCCTACCAGCCTTTCCAGCAGGGTCCCTGGGGCTCAGCTCTTCAGCCATGCCCAGTGCCAGCCTCAGTTTCCCTGATGTCTGGTCCGTCTCACCTTCACCCCCGCAGGCTGGATGCCCATTGGATCAGCTGGGGAGGCGCCTCCCCTAGACACAAATTCATGAAGTTCAGTTAAGCCCAGAAATCATTCTCAGCACGCTCACTCCTCTGACACACTGCCTCACAGCAGCTCTGCCAGCGCTGCACCTCCCTTCTGCCTCTGGCCACCACCATCCAGAGGAGGCGGAGGATGTGCCCCTCCCATGCAGGGCCAGGGCCTCTCCTTTGCCTTCTCAGGGAACTGGTTCCACCGTCAGCCTCGCTGTCGGCCCCACTCTGCTCTCCACCTTTCACCTCCTGTCACTGGGTCTGCAGTCGGCCCCACTGTGCTCCAACAGCTCTCACCAAAGCCATCTACAACCAAACCCAATGGACACTGTTAGTGCTGATCCCCAAGGACCGTGCACTCTCCCGTCCGTCCTCCCTCACTGCCCTCCAGGCGCCAACCTCCGTGCTTCCTCACTGGCTGCCCCAGGAAAGCCCTTCAGCCCCACAGTAGCATTTGGTCTGCTTGTGGACGACTCCTGCGTTTATCTGGCAGTGCCCACCTTCCCCCACTCCTAATGTTTTTGTGCTGGGTGCTGTGGTGACACCATTCTCCATCCTTTGGCAGCAGTCCCCTAGAGGTCTGGGTTCCTTTCTCAGACTCAGCACCACCTCCAACCCCACACACAGCCAGTCAAATCCTGGCCATGTGCTGCCTGGTGATCTCTTGAATTTGTCCACTTTTCTCCATCCTCCCTGTGGGGCAACATCTCTTCCTGCTCCATGTCCTGCACTGGCCGCCCTAAGACCCGTCCTCCTGGCTTGTCACCGTGTCTGATGATGGCCCCTGACTGATTGCAGATATTGGAGGCCCGGGGATGAGTCATGTGCACTGGCCCATTGCTGTGCCTGGCCATGCGCACAGGCTGCTTAAATCCTGTCACTGCAGTAAATGCCACTGAATGGGCAACAGGGTGGTCACTGAGAGCCCTTTGGTGCGCGCGCAACAGGTTGCTGTGGAGGGCTGCCTTTTCTGCTCAGTGGAAGACAATGGGGTGTGGAAACAACTGGGCTGCTCCCAGCACCCTCTCCCCCTCCAGCTACTGGACTTGGGTTTCCCTTTCCAGAAGCCGGAGTCCTGTGGCACTGTCCCCAGCTCCAGGGCCTGGCTAGAACCGTCAGCTTTTCCCTCTCCTCTGGCCAGTCTCTGTTCAGTGGATGGACAAGCAGCCTAGGCAGGGCCGATGAGAAACAAGCTGTTTCCTGGGGTTTCCAGACGAGGAAACTCCTCCTTTCCCACCGTTCTCACAGGGGCACTAGTCTTGGTGAAAGTTCAGGGTAACTATAGCAACGTTAACTACTGAGGCTCCTGCTTCTCTTCTACAAACGTGATAACACTGCTGTCAGGTGACCTCAAAACTATGAGGCTGCCGGTCAGTAACCCGGAGAGTGCCTGGTGCAACTGATGGAAGAGGTGGACAGTCTGGAGGCATAAACGCATAAATCTCTCGATGGCTCCCCGCTGTTTGTGCGATGAAGTCCAAGGGGCGTGCCAGCCTGGCCCCCTCCCCACGATCCCTTGAAGAACTGCCTTTCCCCATGCTACCATGGGCTTTGTAGAAATGTCGAATTCAACATTTCCAGCTACCCCTCTCTCTTCTCTGGAATCCATTCTGAAGGCAAGAACTTTGGTAATCTGGTGTTTATACTTGTACCCCAAAACCTGGTCACTAAGGACTGGAGAGTAATGACCATGCCAGTGCCATGTATTAACTCAGGCAAACAAAAAAAAAAGCCCTCTGAACAGATCCCGAATAAAGCCTGGAGAGCGTCAGCACACGAGCATTAGCTCGGATCCAGGAGAAAACTTACCCTTTAACTCCCGAGCCAGTCGGGAGAAAAACGGCGATCTCAGGTGGCTCTGTGGGCGCCACACCTGTTTGCCCACCAGCCCTGGAGCCATGGGGGTCTTCTCTGGGTCCCCGAAGAGCCCCACTGTGCCGACTATAAACAAGAAGCCGACAAGGGGTACCGTCCGCAGAAAGGATTTATTCGGGGAAAAGGAAGAATCAAGTCCTGCACGAGCAGCCACGGCCGGCCGGCCTGCCCGGTGACGGTGCTGCCCGGACCAAGATGACGTACTTGAGAGAGGGGAGTCGGGAGCTCCGTGGAGGGGCGGCCAGCGCGGGGTCCTACCCCGAGCTCTTCCTGTAGGGCTCCTCCCACAGGCCGTCCCCACTCCCGCCTAGGAGGGCTCTGTCATCCGTGTTGACACCTGACACCTCCCAGGGGTCCTCCGCGGCCACACCCCGCCACCCACCAGACTCGTGGGACCCAATCCAATGGAAGGTCAGCTGCCAAACCCTGCGCGCGTCGTGGGGGAGGGGTCGTCCCTCCCAGCCTCACCGCCGGTGGGCCGCCCGCGAACCGCGTCGCGATCTGCTGGACCCCGAAGAAGCCCTGGGGCTGCGGTGGGGGCCTCATGAGCTCTCGGCTCTTAATGAGGAAGGTGCAGACGCGCCTGGGAGGCCCGTAGCAGCACCTACAGCTAGTGTTTCCGGGTCGAGGCTCAGACCGCGGCGGGGCGCTCTGGGTAACGAGCCCTCCCCACCCACGCCGTGTTCCGACGTCGGCCGCCGCGCTGATGGGCAGGCCTCACAGCCAATCTCAGCAAATGGGCGCTGGGCCGCCCGCCGACCGAACCAATGGCACGCGGCTGGGCGGGGCGGCCGCGGCCGTAGAGCGTCGGGAGGAGCCGCCCTGCCGGGAAGAAGCCCGAAGAGGAGTCGGCGGCACAAAATGGCGGCGGCGGCTGCGACGGCCGCGGCTGGCGTTCCGGGGCCAGGAGCCCCCGCGGCAGCGGCCGGCACCCCGGGCTCGGGGAGCGCACCCCCCGGATCTCAGGGCGTGCTGATCGGGGACCGGCTGTACTCCGGGGTGCTCATTACCCTGGAGAACTGTCTCCTGCCTGACGATAAGCTCCGCTTCACGCCGTCCATGTCGAGTGGCCTCGACACCGACACCGAGACCGACCTCCGCGTGGTGGGCTGCGAGCTCATCCAGGCGGCCGGCATCCTGCTTCGCCTGCCGCAGGTGAGGGCACTGCCGCGAGCCTCGGGCCTAGATAACCGCCGCGCCGGCGCGGGGCGGGGGCGGCCGGGCCCTTTGTTGGCGGCGGGGCCCGCGCAGCGCCGACCCTCAACCTTGACTGCGCCCGGGATCCAGCCCCAGCGTTGTGCTGCTACCGGCCCGCCCCAAGTGGTGAGGAAGGCCAGGCCGCGGGTATCCGGAGCCCCTGTGGGCGTGTAAAACGTTTTAGTTGTTGGTTGTGCCCGGAGTCCCACGAAACCCAGTGACTCAACTGCGAAATCCTAATTGTGCTTTTGAAAATGATGGAACCTTTGTTTTTTTTTAAGGTGGCTATGGCTACCGGGCAGGTTTTGTTCCAGCGGTTCTTTTACACCAAGTCCTTTGTGAAGCATTCCATGGAGGTAAGGGGCTCCTCCTGTGTTTCTTACCCATAGAAATACGTTGAGAGGAAACTTGGGTTTGTTGTTTTTCTGTCTTGCCCATATGAACGAGTTCCTGTCTTGTTTCTAGTCAAGAGCGCTGGACTTGAGGGGCTGGGGAGCCCCTTGTACTGTAGAGCAGCCTCCCCAGGTGGCCTTTTCTCGGGGTGTATCTGCTCTTGGTTCCTGATCTCCCTTTTTAAGCTGTTGGAGGCCTTCAGGATTGGAACACACATCTATGTGTCGCAATGCTTACGTTTCAGCATGTGTCAATGGCCTGTGTTCATCTGGCCTCCAAAATAGAAGAGGCTCCAAGGCGTATCCGGGATGTCATGAACGTGTTTCATCGCCTTCGACATCTGAGAGAGAAAAAGTGAGTCTGTCAGATCTGTCACAAATGTCTCCGCAGTTCTGTGGTTTTTACGTTATGCTAACGGTTCTGAAGCAGAATTCAGGGTGTGAGGTTTTTAAACTTGTGCCCAGAGGAGGGCCTGGTGCCCAGGGGCTACCCAATAGAGACGGTGTAATGTGCAAAGGGACCGGGCACTGTGGCTGCAGTTTCGTTGGCATTGGTTTCCCACTCCATGTCGGTCTCTGCTCTAGAGCTGGCTTCTCAACCTGGGCCCTGTTGGGCTGGTTGATTCTGTTGTGAGGGCTGTCCTGTTTGATGCTGACTGTTTAGCAGCACCCTGGCCGCTATACACTAGATGCAAACAGCTTGTCCCTCAGTTGTGACAGCCCAAAACTTCTCCGGACATGGCCCTGTGACCCTGGGATGGCAGAATTGCCCCTGGTTGGGAGCCACTGCCTAGACCTTACCCAGACGTTACACTTGTGAAGGTAGTGGAGGTCTTTTGGAATAAATGCTGTGCGTCCATTGGTTCTTTGGTGTCTTTCATCCTCAGCGCACACACTTGTTAACTTTAGTCAGATGACATGCCTTTGGTACTTGTGCAGTGAGGTCTCGAGACCCACCACTGCATTCAGGCGATGTTATTTCTTCATAAATAACGACACAGGTAATATTTATTGAGTACACACTTTTTTTCTTAGTTTTTATCCGTAAATACAGGCAGTGTTTATTCCCTGGATAGTTGTTTCTCTAAGGAAAAGGAGAGGCGATAAGTAGGTTAGTGATGAGGTTTGAGGAAGGCTTTGTGGGCTAGTTAAAGGAAATGAACTTGTTAGCTGCATCTGTTCTGTGGTGTCTACTATGCAGTCGAGTCTCACCGTTTGGAGGTGGCTGGGGGATTTGAGAGTTTGCTTATTTGATCCTTCTGCAGACCATGTGCTTTGTCTTTGTAGAAAACCAGTGCCTCTCTTATTGGATCAAGATTATGTTAACTTAAAGAACCAAATTATAAAGGCAGAAAGACGAGTTCTCAAAGAGCTGGGTTTCTGCGTCCACGTGAAGCATCCTCACAAGGTGGGTATGAGGCCCAGTGCCCCGTGAGCCTCCAAATCCCTGCTCCATTCTCCCTGAAACTGAAAATGCTGAAGAGGATTAGATGTCCCTGAGTTGGTTTCCAGTCTATATCTGTAGTCTGGTTATTTGTTCTTTTTTTTTTTTTTTTAAGATTTTATTGGGGAATTGGGGGAGGGGAACAGACAAGTTGCTGTCCTTTTGTTCTTCAGTCTAGTTGTGGAGGATGTCGCTTCACTGGCCCATGTTGGTATTATCATTGCGCTCTTTCCGGGTGAGGCAAATCGGTTGCCGGCTGCTCACGGCAGCCCTTAGCAACCCACTGCAGCCCCACTGCAGCCTACGCTGTCGCCGGCGACTCACAGCAGCCCAGCTCCAGGTCGAGCTGTTGTTCACCATCTTAGCTGTAGAGGGCAGTGTCACTGACCCTCATGTGGGATCCAAACCAGGGCCCTGCTGCTCAGAGCTGGCGTCCCAAGCCAACTCTTAACCAATGCGCCACTCAGCCGGCCCTATCTGTTGATCTTAATAGCCTGTTTTTAAGAGTTTTAGAAATGACACCTGATAAGTTTGAGCTTTCAAAAAGTCATGAACTTGTATAAATGGAATCTGTCAGTTCACATTTTTCTTTCTCAACAGCTAATTTTCTAAAAGTTGCTTTCATAGTGGCCGTGTCTCCTCTTATGGGAGGATGGAAGAATTCTGAACCCTTTTGTTTGGAAAGGAACTAATGTAATTTTGCAGCAAGTATCAGTTGAGCGTGGCTGCTGTGTAACATACCACGGGCTCCTCCTATGTTAACTTAAAGATTTTAAAAACACTGTTGTTTGCATCTTTGCTTTCATCCCATTTTCACTGGTGGGTTTCCTCATATTTTCTCTCTCATTTGACCCGGCATTAATTTCAAAATCTTGGTAAATGACTTGCCATAGATTTAAGAGCTTTTCTTCATTTACTGAAAGTATTTTCATACCATATTTTGTGTAAGTTGGTGACTGGGGTGTAGAGATGTTTAGGGCAGGCTAATGTCACTGGTGAAAATGTGTGCAAGAGGAGAGTGAAAACGGCCATGAAGACGAGGCCTTCCGCTGCGCATGCAGCCTGGTCCTCGTACTATGTGCTGCCTGGCTGCCAAAGCAGGTAGCAGGCGCATCAGCCATAATCCTTCCAGCCGAGCAGCACACCACCTGTGACCAGGAGCTACCTGGGCTCTAGCCTGAGGCTCTTGTTGGCTGCATGGACCACCCACAAGCTCTGCATTCTGTGTTCTCACGGTTCTTGGTAATAACTGCCTGACCCGTATCTTCCAGATAATCGTTATGTACCTTCAGGTGTTAGAGTGTGAGCGTAACCAGCACCTGGTCCAGACCTCATGGTGAGTTGATTTTCCTTGTTTTAAGAGACCAGCAAGGGCAGTCTAGGAATAAGTTGATGTGAGGCGCTTGGGGCAGTGGGTAGTTGGCCCCATGACTTGGTTGTGGGCTGGAGTTGTCCGAGTGCCCAGTGTTCCTGCTGTGTAAATTCCAGCCAGCCTCCCCAAATACCAGGCACTGGTGTGACGGTAAGGTGGCCCACGCCCTCCCCACGCCCCAGTAGCACTCACCGGGCTTACCTCCGGGTGCTGTTGCCTTGGCATGCCGGGGTCTTTCCCGCAGGTGCCAGCATGGACGTAGTGCAGTCACTTCTAACTCCCTGTTAAAGAGGACCCTGGGAGAGGGGGTAGAGTTTGTCTGCAATTGTGGGGATGGGTTTGAACGATGCATATGCTAGAAGTGAAGCCTGAAGTAAAAGTTCAGTGCTGGGTGCTGTGTGAAGTTTTCCCATGGAGTTAAGTCTATAGGGGTCATGTTTTTGCTGCCTGAATTGTCTGGTGCTATGTCTAATAGAGAACCTATTTTGACTTTTCTTTTCTGTACTCTTTCAATCAAAGGGTAGCCTCAGAGGGTAAGTGACTAAGACTTCTCCTCTGCTGTCCAAGCGCTTTGGTGCAGGGTCAGCGGCCGTCCTCAGCCAATCCGGTGCAGCGGTCCGCCGAAGGCTGGCTCTAGACGGCGGTACGCGCACGGTAGTGTAGTACTGGCCGACTGCTGCTGCGGCTCTGACGCGTGTGCTTCTTGTTAATCCTCTGTCTGCTTTGGTAACTGGATGGATCAGAGTTGGTAACTGTCTTGACTTGAATTGTGTCCCTTTGAAACTGCTGTACCTGTGCAATAAAGATGCAGTACCTTCCTTTTAAAAAAAAATTCTATGGAAAGCTGTACGATTTGGCTGAGGGGGAATCCAGACTTCAGTGTGGGATTATGTCATTATTTCTGGAAGTTCTAAAGCTGCTCTTTTCAGCAGCTGAGAGTTGACACAGTCTAGTAAAAGGTATGCATCTTTAAATCATTCCATGGACACTTGTTTTAATACTGTAACATTTCAAATATAGCAATACGTTTAAGTCTATGTTTTGAGGACTTTGTGTTTAGGACTTAAAAGTTAATGGATTGATATTATGACCACTGAGTACTGAAAACTTTTTATTAGAACCAGAGAAGTTACTGAGGGCTCTGTTTGTAAACTGCAGCGCTCTGTCCGAACGGCCTTGGTGCTTGTTGCCCAGGCTGCTGCCTGAGGCCTGGAGCAGGACCTCCCACGGCTGCTGCCACCAGTCGGCACGTGTAGGCTCTGTCATTGCAAGCTCTGTGGGTGTGCGTGTCCCCATATCCCGAGTGTAGGGCAAAGCTACAGGGTGGGGGGCTTATCAGTCAAGTCCCAGCACTGCAGCTTGCCCAAGCGGGCAGCCTGACGAGGCTCACCATATTGGGATAGCAGTGGGAAGAAGTAAACTGTGACCTGTCCAGCTGTGTTCTCATGGAATTAATCCTTTGTGTTTGCAATAAAGTGAACATGAGGTCTGATTTTGGTCTCTTAAAGCTTACAGAAACATATATAAAGGAAAATGTTAAATGTAGCCACTTTTAAAACTTTTTGATGTTTTAAAAAATGCAAATGTTTTGTATTTCTGTATCTTCTAAAGTTCGATAAAGTTTTTCAATGTACTGATCGTGGTGAAACTTGCAGTATTTTGTTGCTTTTGTCTGATTTTATGCATGTTCATTTTAAGACTCCTTGTTGACATGGGACAATTTGGAAACGGTTCTTTGATAAGCCTGAGAAGAGGACTTCCCTTTGGCATTGAGCCTTCCTCTGCATGATGTCCCCATGCATCCAAGGGCGGCCCCCGTGCCAAGCAGACTCGCTCGTGGAAGGAGGAGGCCAGGCTGTGAACGCAGGCCTCTTAGAGGAGAAGGAACGCAAGAAGACCGTTCGTCTCAGGAAGCTTCGTGCTCAGCCTTTCCCTTTCAGTTTGCATGTCCCTCTGCACTGTGGATTTGGAGCACTTAGCTTTCTTTAATCAAATACTTTCTAACCCCTGCAGTAGGCATTTTCTGTCTGAGGTATTGTGCTTTGCATGACAGCAGCCCAAATGTTGAGAGGGAAAAGTAAAGTTAAAGTCGGTTCTCTTTCATAGCAACACATATTGTCTGACATTCAGCCAGCTTAAACATTTTTTTCCAATTTCCCTGCCTTCCTGTTTTGTATCAGAAAAGGCAGTTAGAATGTTTCCCTGAACTCTTGAGAGTCCCAGGGCTGTGTAGCTCTTGAGTCCCTGCAGGAGGCTACTTAGAGGAGTGACTTTGCTCGAGGATGCAGACGGGGGCCCCTGGACTTCCCGGGGCGTTGCAGTTTTTTCCTGCGTTTGGTTTTCAGGAATTATATGAACGACAGCCTTCGCACTGACGTTTTCGTGAGATTCCAGCCTGAAAGCATCGCCTGCGCCTGCATTTACTTGGCTGCCCGGACGCTGGAGGTCAGTGTTGCCGCTCGGCAGGGTCCCAGCCTGACCCTGTCTCTAGCCTCGATTACCCTTGTGCCCTTGTGTGGCGTCCTTCCAGCTGTGCCCATTGGTGCCAATGAGAAGCCTACTTAGTGACCAGCACGTGTTCTGACTGCCACGCGAATGAGGACAAGTATAACCGTGATGCTGTTTGTGTTTACAGATCCCTTTGCCCAATCGTCCCCATTGGTTTCTTTTGTTTGGAGCAACTGAAGAAGAAATCCAAGAAATATGCTTAAAAACCCTGCAGCTTTACACTCGGAAAAAGGTTCGTCAATGTTTTTTTCTTGTGACGTATTTTATTATACGTCTGTTTGACTAGGATCATGTGGTTCTGAGTAGGCGGTTTTGGCTTTGACAGGTTGATCTGACGCATCTGGAAAGTGAGGTGGAGAAGCGGAAGCACGCCATTGAGGAGGCAAAGGCGCAAGCCCGGGGCCTGTTGCCCGGCGGCCCCCAGGTCCTGGACGGCAACGCCGGCTTCTCGCCTGCCCCCAAGCCAGGTGAGTGCACCGGCAGCCCTTCTTTCCTCCAGACCTCTCAGGACGGCGCACTGCAGGCCCAGGCTCCACACCCAACATTTGGCTGGTGATCTCTGAAAGGCGTTTCTTTCATTGTTTTCTGCCCAGTTAGCTTGTCTTTTGATGGAAACCGTATAAATCTGGAGCAGTAGATTGTGTTGTCAGGCCCTAGGGTTCAAGCATGATGCCTGTCCCCAGCCCGAGGGCAGGTGAGCCAGACAGATAGGTGGCCTTAAGAGTCAGGCTGAGAGCAGGCAGTTAATCCACCATGGACGTGGCTTTGTGTTGCTCTGCTCACCGTTCCTGAATCGGCAGCTTTCTGGTGGTCTGTGTGAACTTCTTGTACTTGATTCTAGCAGAATCTCCCAAGGAAGGGAAAGGGACCAAGGCTTCCCCACTCCCTGTGAAGAATGCCAAGAGGAAAGTGGAGGGCGGGAAGCAAGCCCAGGCTGGCGGCCAAGTGAACGGGTGAGTGCTGCGTGCCCCTTAGGGCCGGCGGGTTGGCCGGGTTGACTGTAACCGGGTCAGTAACCGCCCCCCATCCTCAGCTTGCCGAAGGGGCGAGGGAGCCGGAGCCGGAGCCGAGAGCAGAGCTACTCGAGGTCCCCGTCGAGGTCTGCTTCCCCTAAGAGGAGGTGTGTGCTGCCTGGGGTCATCCGGGGCCTGCACCTGGTGGTGGTGGTGGTGGGGGGTTCCCCAGGGAGGTGGGCAGGTGGTCACCCGCTTGGTGTTGCTGGCCTCCACAGGAAAAGCGACAGCGGCTCCACATCCGGTGGCTCCAAGTCACAGAGCCGCTCGCGGAGCCGCAGTGACTCGCCTCCCAGACAGGCACCCCGTGGCGCGCCCTACAAAGGCTCCAAGGTGAGGAGCTACCGGAAGTCCAGGGACTGCAAGTGCCCCGCCCAGAAGCCACACCGGTCTCGGAGCTGCAGTTCCTCCCGCTCTCGGAGCCGCTCACGGGAGCGGGCAGACAGTTCTGGAAAATATAAGAAGAAAAGTCATTACTATAGAGATCAGCGACGGGAGCGTTCACGGTCTTATGAGCGCACGGGCCATCGCTACGAGCGGGACCATCCTGGGCACAGCAGGCATCGGAGGTGAGGTGCGGGGTCCCGGAGGGCTGCCCTTCCACCCTTGGCGTGTACACCTCAGCGTGACCGGCCCTGCAGATCGACCCTTGGTAAATGGTTGTGGACTCTGGACCTTGTGGTGAACTGGGAGATGGGAGCAACGGGCCCACAGGCCGGCGGGTATGGTGCACGCCCGCCCCAGCGCACTCCCGCCCCGGTGGAGCAGGTGTGCACATGCTGCTGGTGTGGGTCGGTGCTAATGACAGGCTGTCTTTACTCCCGGACCGTTACGCAATGACGTCAAACCGAAAAGATGACTTTGGAACCTTTTGCCTATATTAGGTGGTACTTATGTACATATTTTGCAGTGTTTCACAATGAGAAAATGGCCTTAATAGCCCCTTATTCTCTATCTATGTTGTAAATAAATGTGTTTAATACAAGTTTAAAGCTGTATATGAAAACTCAGAACTTGAATTCTGTCAGCTTAAAACTTGAGAATTCTGATTTTTAAATGTGAAGGTATTTAGATCTGTGTTGAGAGTCGTATATTTTTATCTGTGCGATGCTGAGTGCAGGCCACCAGCTCCTAGAGGTTTCCTATATGCATTTTATGTGGTTAAATAAACACAATTCTCTACTCAGGATATCTGAACATTGAAAACTTCGTAGTTTATTTTGCTTGCGGTGGCCGCACAGCCCGCAGCAGCCATTCTAGTGGAGTGTCTGCGCTGCTGCCTCTGGTCTCGTTAAGGTGGGTTTCATATGGAGCGCCTGTGCGCTGCTCTTCCGTCAGAGGCTTATGTGGGCCCGAGCTGTTTGCTTGTTCTGACAGACCTGCTTCCTGGGGGCAAAGGGAAGGTTTGAGAAGGACAAAATGGCTTGTGCCTGAAGGACACAGGTAACCCAGGACGTGTGTCAGGCTGGCAGTATCTCCCAGCACAGTGGGTAGAAGGTGCATGTACAGGTAGGTGGTGCAAGTGAGCAGGGCGGACCTTAGGACCGTTTCCGGTCCTGTATGGGCTCTGAGGATCAAGGGCTGTTGGGTCCTGTCATATGCCCAGCGTCAGCTCTCCCCACACCAGCACCTGTGTGCAGCAGGGAGAGACTGAACATGGCCTCTCTGGTGCCAGTGGGCCTGCACAAAGATGTCTGGGAGTCACTACAGCCAAGGAGGTGTGAAAGCAACAAGATCCCCATCTAGGGTCCAAGTGGTTCGCTCTTAAGACGAAATCAAAGACGCCTGGGGGCCTGTAGCTGGAGTGAGAGGTGTCCTTGCAGGCATCCTCAGACCTTCCTACTTGGGGACCCCAGGCAGCCCTCTGGATTGTCATCTTTTTTTTTAAGACTTTTATTGGGGAATTGGGGGGATAGGAACAGTGCTGGGGAATTGGAGGAAGGGGAACAGACAAGTTGCTGTCGTTTTGTTCTTCAGTCTAATTGTGGAGGACGTTGCTTCACTGGCCCAAGTTGGCACCATCATTGCTCTCTTCCTGGGTGAGGCTGATCAGTTGCCGGCTTCTGGACGGCCGCTCACTGCAGCTGCTGGCCGCTCACGCTGGCCGCTGGCTACACACGGTAGCCCATGGCAACCCACTGCCACAGGGGCTGCAGCCTACGCCGTCGCCAGCGACTCACGGCAGCCCAGCTCCAGGTTGAGCTGTTGTTCAGCATCTTAGAGCTGTAGAGGGCAGTGTCACTGGCCCTCATGTGGGATCCGAACCGGGGCCCTCTGGCGTCCCAAGCCAGTTCTTAACCAACGCGCCACTCAGCCAGCCCTGGAGTGTCATCTTTGACCTCAGTTGTAGAGCTGGGCCTGGAGCCACTAGCGTGTCCACGCTCACTGCTTTGCTAGCTAGTTGGAGCCTGGGGGCGACCTGGCCTGGCCACTTACTGTTAGAACTAGCTGGTATGTCCTGCAGGGCAAGCCTCTGGGCGGTCACCAACAGGACTCTGCCCCACATCCCTCCTCCAGGGGCCCCGCACATCATTTCTGGGGGGTCCTGTCCATCCTAGCTGGCCCCAGCGAGGAGGACCACAGGGGCTTTCTGAACTAGAGAAGCAGTGCCCCGGTGGCAACACTGGGCTCAGCCAAACCCAATCGTCCACGGAAGCTGCTTTTGTGTTTTGGACAAAAAATAAAGTTTCTGGTTTTGCTTTCCATAGCTAGTTTGCTTTTAAAAAGTAAAGTAATTCTACGTATGCAATAAGCGTCGTGTTAACGGCGTTAGGCGTAGGCCTCCTTCACTTATCCGGCCTGGTGGACAGGAGGCTGCTAAGCTAAAGGGATGGGATGGCGCCCAGTTATGCCCGGACATGGCACTCCGGGTGTCCGAGCTGCGGAAGCCCGGCCCAGGCCGCCATCGCCTGTGTGCCACCTTCACTCCCAGCCCCGGGGGGAGGGGTCGGGGAGGCCAACGGCTCCGACCCCTTCGCCTCCAGCCCCAGCGGGGCTGCGGGACCGGCCGCTTCCGGCGCCCCATGAACTACACTTCCGTCGCAGGGTAACGTCCCTGCCGCAGACCCGAACGCCACTTCCGCCTGCTTTGGCGAATTGGCCCCTGCCTGGTCTGGACGCCGCGTTAATTCGGGCTGCGCAGGCACAGAGGGCAAACCTCGGGATTGTGGGAGATGTAGTTCTCGCCTCCGCCGGGGCCGGCGGAGCTGGCGAGCTGGGGGCGAGCCGGGGCGGCTCCTCTGGCCGGAAACCGTCCCTTTCTGGGCGCGGCGGAGCCTGTGCCAATGCGCGGTCAGGCGCCGTAAGAGCGCCAGGGGGCGCTGGACGTAGGAACCGCTGGGTGGCCGTAGGCGGGGCTGCGGAACGCTTTAGGAGCGGACCGGAAGTGCCATAGCGCAGCGGCGGAATGGTCAGTTTGTGTCCCATGGGTCGGGTTTGCAGAGGGTGGGCTGGCGTCCGTGGCGTGCGTGGTCCAGGGACAGCCGAGAGGGCCGCTGGGCGGGGACCGTTCTCCCGGGGCTTGGGACCGTGGCCGTGGTTTGCCGGTCCCGGCCTTCCGTGCGTTCGAGGGTCGACACCGCCCCACGTGGTGGGTGCCTCGGCGGTGAAGCTGAGGCTCCGGGAGGGTTGGTGACCTGCCCTGATTCGCGCAGCGGGGGAGTGGCGGAGGCGGGGTTTGTACCCAAGTCAGGTCGTTTAAGGGCGTGAGCGGCGTTTGAAGTAACATTCTCGCGGTGGGAGAGGGTGATGCGGTGTGATGCGGGGGTCGGGGCAGGGCTGCAGTCCCGGCTTTGCCTGCCCGGGGCTGCTGGCCTAGCGGCCGACCGCTCCCGCGTGACCTCAGCGTGCACCTGTGTTTCAGCTCCCCTGAGCGCTTGGGGCCGCCGCCACCCACAGACCATGTTCCTGGTCCGTCTGACTTCTCAGCTGCTCAGGGTTGTTCCCCGGGGAGGTAAGAGGCCCCGTGGGGACAGACGGGCGGGACACACATCTGGGTTGGAAATGTGGTACTAAGCAGCCCTTCTGCCCTCAGCAGCTGTGCCTCACCAGCGGGAGGCGGGGGCCTGGCCACACACACCACTCTGCAAACAATCACGGTATCACAAAGGGAAAGTGGGCGGGGGTTCAGCCAGGGATAAGGTGCAGGTCACCCCAGTCTGGTGGAGGTCCTGCTCTCTAGGCCCATCAGACCTGGGGGGCTGCGCTCAGCCTGGGGTAGCCCCTTGACTGCTAAGTGCCATCTTGTTTCCTGCAGACCTCCGTCGGCCCTGGCCCCTCTCGGGAGTGCTGGGCAGAGCTGCTTGCAGGCTCCACTACAGCATGCAGCTCACAGGCCCAAATGGGGCTGCTGTCCTCCCTGGCAAGGGTGTCCAGCTGGAGCTTGAGGAGATGCTGGTCCCCAGGAAGATGTCCATCACCCCTCTGGAGAGCTGGCTGACCGCCCGCTACCTCCTGCCCAGCCTGGATGCTGGGGCCCCAGGGACTGTGGCACCAGCCCAGCTCTATGAGTGTCCCCCGAGCCAGGTGGGGGAAGGAGCTGAGCAGGGGGGCGAGGGGATCCCCAGTGCGCCCGGGATGCAGTGCAAAAACATCCTGAAGATTCGCCGGCGGAAAATGAACCACCATAAGTACCGCAAGCTGGTCAAGCGGACCCGCTTCCTGCGGCGGAAGATCCGGGAAGGGCGCCTGAAGCGGAAGCAGGTGTGTGCGGGGTTCCCGGGGCCGGGCGGGGCACAGTGGCTGAGGGACCGTGGCCGAGCCCCAGACCTGTCAGTGGTCCGTCCCTCTGCCCTCGCAGATCAAGTTCGAGAGAGACCTGAAGCGCATCTGGCTAAAGGCGGGCCTGAAGGAAGCCCCTGCGGGCTGGCAGACCCCCAAGATCTACCTGAGAGCCAAATGAGTCCGGGCCCGCCCACACATCACTGTTGCTGACCCACTGCAATAAAAGTGCCGCCTGGCCCCTCTGCCTGGTGTGAGCTACCTTGGGGTCGAGGCTGGTGCCAGCCTCTCCTGTTAGAGGAGGCACAAAGGCCCAGGTGGCAGGTTGGCTGGCCCTTGTCTTGCTGCCAGCCTGCAAGAACGGCAGCCTCACTGTTGGGGAATTGCCCTGTGGGGACAGCTGGGAACAGGCCCTTGGGCACATACGTTCCAGTGGGGGAGGCAGCCTGTTACTGAGCACACAGGTGACAGGTACCGCAGGGCAACACGAGGGGTCAGGGAGGGCCTCACTGGGCAGGTGGGAGGGGAGGCAGGGAAGGCCCCGGTGCCCCAGACATGGCAGTCCTCTGCAGGCTCAGAGGACCTGGGTCTCAAGTGATCCTCTGAGACATCCTGCTTAGTTGAGGCTGGGGACCCCTAGCCTGCTGTGGGCTGCTTGGCCTCTGCCACTTCCTGGGGCCTGGATGGCAGTGGCCTGGAGGGTGTGCCCTGGCAGGTTCAAGGCTGGGGCTGGCTGTGGTAGGGGTGCCGTTTTTGGAGATGGAGAAGGCCTGGAGCCTTAGCATGAGCCAGTGGTCCCCAGTGACCCCAGGCTCCTCCTGGCTGGAGAGGAGGGCATTATCCCTGATAGTGGGGGTTGTGGGGGAGGGTTGTGGGCTGGGCTGCCACCGGGGAGCCGGTCAGAACCCCACAAACGCAGGTGAGCTCAGCACCTGCCCTGCTCCCTGATCTCCGAGAGGACCGCTACATCTGTGCTGAGCCACCTCGAGGTGCTTGTGATGCTGCCCCCCTCCCCACGGGCCACACCCCTTCTTTTGTCACAGCAGTGTGTGTGAGGTCAGGGTTTGAGTTCCCTGAAAATGAGGTAGATCTTGAGCACGGGTCCCCACCATTTCTCCAGAATGGAATGAAATGTTATCGCGTTAGTAACTTGTTGCTTCAGGGAGTCGGGTGGGTCCCTGCCCTGTGTGTGCCAGCCAGGCAAGCAGGCTCTGACAGCTGGGCCCGCCGGGACGCGGGCTCACGGAGGGGCCGTGTGTGGTGAACTGTGAGGAGGGTGAAGCTGGCCATGACCTGAAGGGGACCTGAGACCATGGAGGACGGCAGGCCTGCTTCCGCTGACATGGGGGCAGTGGTCAGCCCCTGGGGTGTGGGTTGAGGACCAGGACAGTGCAAGGGCGCGCCCTGTCGTCTGGAAGGCCTCCAGCTGTGGAAGGCCTCACAGACATCCTTCCGGGTTGTTGTTTCCCCGCTGGGTGGGGTGGGTCCCATGGCTGGGGCCGCCTCAGTGGCAGAGCCCTCCCTGGGGTGGAGTGGACTTTGCCCTCTTGGTGCCAAGTTTGCCCGTGCCTCTGCAGGGCTTCCCAGCAGGGCCTCTGCCCGCCAGCGGTGTCCTTGGCTGGCACCCACGGCTCCTGAGCAGCTGCTGCCCTACAGCTTGCCCCACCCTTCCTTGGCTGGTGGGAGAACCAGGAGACCACGTTGTTACACAGTCGAGGCTGAGCCGAGTTCGGAGGTGCAGGGAGCCGCACGCCCAGGCCCCTGGAGGCTGGCCGCTGACCTGCCTGCTCCAGCCTGCGGGAGGCAGGCTGCCACGGCCTCTAGGTCGCTTGGCCTCACAGTTCTGCCAGAGCAGTGCTTCCTAGCTGGGCCCCTGGCCACATCTGGAGACATTTTGGTTGTCAGCATGAGGGTGCCACTGACAACGATGAGTGGAGGCCAGGGATGCTGCCAAACGCCTTTCTGTGCACAGGGCGGCCCCACACATTAGTGGTACCACAGCTGGTCCCCAGTCCAGATGCCACTGACGCTGTCAGGTCAGCTCCCGAGCCAGCCCACCCCCCTCCTGCCCTGCAGGGTCTGGACCTGGCAGCCCTGCTGCTGCCCGGGCGGCCTGAGGGCAGAGCTCATCCTGCTTGTGGCTTGGATGCCTTTGGGCCCCAACCACGACCTCGAGGCAATTCTGGGGTTTTATTTTTATCCCTGCAGCCCCCCGCCTCTTCCCTAGGCAGCCTCAATCCTGCCTCCCAGGCTGTGGGGTGTGCAGCTCCTCCCCGTTGTCCCCTATTCTGGCCCTGGGCAACCCCTGAGGAGAATACAGAGGCAGGTGGGGCGGACAGAGTTGGGGGGCCTGCGAGCTGCCCCGCACCCCAGCCTCCTAGCAGTGCCTAGGGCTTGGGCTCTAGCCAAGGGGGGCTCCAGCCAGGGCCAGAATTAATGGGGGTATCGGGCACTTGCTGGGCACCCTGCCTTTTGGGCCCAATGTGGGAGCATCTCAGTGAGCTCACACCTTGTCAGCTGCTCCATGCCTGGGCATTTCCCTCACGTGGTGAGTCAGCGAAGACCCCATGGGAGAACGCTGAGGCTGGACTCCGTCCTGGTAACGGCCGGCTGGGGCCTTGCCCACCTCATGCCCAGGGGCAGATGGCCCTGTGCTGTGAACAGCTGAGCCCCTCCCCATGGGTGCAGGAGGGTGAGGGAGGCAGCGTCAACACAGAGCAGAGGCTGGAGAAAGAAACCTGTGTGGGGTATGGGAGTACCAGTGCAGCCCAGAGCCCTGCTGAGAAGGTGCTGGCTGACCTCTAGGCCCCACTGTGGGTCTGATGTGGAATTCTCAAGGGCTCGGGACACCAAAGCTCTCACATGAACAAGGGTCTCCTCCTGACTACTACCCGTCCCAGCTGATGTGGGTCGGTCACCCACTGGGTCCCCTGGGGCTAAGATGTGAGACATGCACCTTCCCTGTGAACCCAGGCAAGGGGGCTGGGTGGGGAGGGCTACCCTCCCCAAAAGGAGCCCATTCACTTTGATGGGTCTTGGTTTTATTACTTTGTATTTACAGTTACATTTTTAATTTTCCAACTGAGTGAGATTGTTACAGCTTAATGTGAGGTGGTTGTACAAGGCTCAGTACAGAGCAGCTGCCCCGCCTCACCCCTCCTGAGTCTGTCCCAGAAGCAGCGACCTCAGCTCCTTCCAAGGACTCGGCTGCTGTCAGCTTCCGCCCTCCTGCCACCTGCTATAGTCACATCACTGTAGCGTTCACACATGGCCTCACCACTCAGCAAGATTACATTCCTTCTTCATTCAATTATTTGTTTTCCTGTTTTTTTTCTTTTGCACATTTTTATGTATGTATCACTAATTCAGCCCCCACGCTTGCTGACAGAATTTAAACAGTTCGGTCCAGCTCCTCCAGTAATTTTTGTTCAGTGAAGTACCTGGCGCCCACCACCTTAACCTCCCCGCCCCCTTCCTGGGGCTGCCCTTGGCATCATCAGCAGGCTCCCTGTTTCTGGGTCCAGCACCGTGGTTTCTACTTTTGTGGTTTACTCCCTTCTTTTCATGAAGTACGTCCTATTATAGCTTTCTAAAAGGGTTCATGATAGATAAGTCATAGAATAAGAATTACATTTTTATTTTTTTTAGCTGAGCCATCCTGCCACCCGTTGGCAGCTCAGTGGCAGTTCAGCTCGGGCTGTGAATCGAACCGGCGACCCTGTTGCTCAGAACTCGCACTCTTGAGCGAGCCCTTAACCAACTGAGCCACTCAGCCGGCGCTTGTTTCAGCTCTTTAGTCTTCTGTTTTCTCATCACAATTTCAATACCAAGTTTTCAGCCCAGCACCCAATGCCTCAGGTCCTGTCTCATCGCTGAAGTCTTGCCAGGATCTGACCTGCTCCAGCCAGGCTGTGTGCCCACCGCCTCTGGGACCTCCCTTCCTGCTCTCCAGAGGTTCTCTCCCACTCTCCCACTTCCTTTGTCTTCCATGTTCTCCCCTCACGTTGAAAGAGCACCATACCCCTGCATGAAGAAACACGAGAGAAAATGTGGAAACCTTGCATATCTGCAAATATCTTCATTGTATCCTGTTACTTGGTTGACAGTTTGGCTGAATATAGAATTCCAGGTTGGAAATTATTTCCTACAAAGCTTTGCAGGCATCATCCCATTGTCTTCTAGTTCCTGTGCTGCCTTTGGGAAAATTAAACCCAAGTTGAGTCCAGAGCCTTTGTACGTGGCCTCTTGTTTCTTAATGCTTTTTTTTCTTTGCTGTTGGTAAACGTTCACAGTGACACACCTTTGTGTGGTTCTGTTCTCACCCTGCAGGAACCCGACTCAACCTGGAAATGTGTGGCCTTTGATTCTGGGACGTTTACTTGAACTGTGTTGTAATTTCCTTTCTCTATGTCTTCTGTTTCTGAAACTCCTGTTATTTGGCTCCTTTTCTGTTCCATCTTATGGGCATCTTCAACATTTTCTTCTAATCCATTTAATGATTTCTTTCATTTCTGTGACTTTGTTTTTAATTTCTAAGAGACTGAGTTTTGACTACTTTTATAGTGCCCTGTTGGTGCTTCGTGGGTGTGGCCTCATCTTCTGTGAGGGCGTTGATGACGTGTTTTCTCTAACCCCACCCCGTCTGGCTTCCACTTCTTCCACGTTGATTCCTCCTGTTTGCTGACTTCGGTCTCTGTCTTCCATGGTAGTGGGTTTGCTCTGGTCATACGTGGTTGCTTAGATTTACAGGTATGGCCTACAAACCAGCAGCAAGACGTGTCCAGAACACCCAGAAGTGGTCTCTAGTCCCTTTCCTGCTTGCATTTATTTATTTATTTATTATTTATTGATTTTTAAGCTGAGCCATCCTGCCACCTGTTGGCAGCTCAGCTTGGGCTGTGAAGGGAACCAATGACCCTCTTGCTCAGAGCTCACACTCTTGAGGGAGCTCTTAACCAACTGAGCCACTTGGCTGGCCCTCCCTTTCCCCCTTTTAGTGGGAGCCAGCACTCTTTGGAGATGTGGCCAATTCCAGGTAAGGCTTTCAACTTTAGCAACTAAAACTACAGGACCCCGAGTTAAATGTGAGTTTCAGATAAGCAACAAGTAATTTTTCAATGTAAGTGTGGCCCATGCAGGATTTAACCTGGCAACCTGAACTCTGGGTCTGTGGCAGGAAGTGCACAAGAGCCTGGCCTCTCTTCCTACCAGATGGCAGGAGAGCTGTCAGGCTGCTGTGGGTGTGTC